TAGCTAACACCTTCATCTAGGAATCCGTGATAACTTTTTACTATCAAGTTGCAGCTCCGTTACATGCAAATTCTTATAATACTACTCCTCCTCCCACCTTTGTGAAAAGATCTGGCCACCAAAAAAGGCTGAGAAATCAACTGGGAACATGTATAATAAGAATAACAGTCATGGCTCTGTGCCAAAGCCCTGTCTTTACTTCTAATGTCTGCTCTCAGAGCCCAGACTGGTTCTTCTTCTTCTTCTTCTTCTTTTTTTAAGTCTATTTATTTATTTTGAGAGAGAGAGAGAGAGAGTGCAAGCTGGGGGTGGGGGGGCGGGAGGGGAAGAAAAAGAAGGAGGGAGAGAGTTTCCCAAGCAGGTTCTGTGCTGCAAGCCCAGAGCCCAATGCGGGGCTCAAACTCAGGAACTGTGAGATCACGACCCGAGCTGAAGATCCAGAGTCACACTCTTAACCGACTGAGCCACCCGGGCACCCCAGCCGAGAGTGGTTCTTAACATTCAGTTTGCAGTGGGTTCAGGGAAGGCATTCTCAGATTGCACTGGCAGGTGTAATGAAATCATTTGAGTTGTGCTGTGAACCTTTCGCCTGTGCACAGCCGTACTTTGTTTTTTTGTACCTACCTTTATTGTGCTCCACGGATGCTGCTTTTTTTGTTTGTTTGTTTGTTTTTTAACATACTGAAGGTCCGTGGCAGTCTTGCGTCAAGCAAGTCTATTGGCATCATTTTTCCCGACAGCATTTGCTGGCTTCCTGTCTCAGTGTCACATTTTGGTAATTCTCACAATATTTCAAACTTTTCACCATTACTACATCCGTTACGGTGATCTGTCGTCAGTGATTACGACTCACTGAAAGCTCAGAAGGTGGTTGCTGTTTTTTAATTGAGGTATGTACGTTGCTTTTTCAGACATAATGCTGTTGCACACTTAGTTGTCTACAGTAAGCTAAGTCACATAAACATAGCTTTAATAGGCCCTGGGAAACCAGAGAATTCATTTGACACACTTTCCTGTGGGGGTTTAGAACCACGCCTGCAACATCTGCAAGATATGCCTTATAGGCTTTAAGGCTCTGGAACATTGTCGAACTTGAATCTGTCTATCTATCTATCTATCTATCTATCTATCTATCTATCTATCTATATCTTGGAGAATTACTATGTGGAAAACTGTCCTAAGCCACGGAGAAACGAAGATGAATAAGGCATGAGCCCATCACTGAGATGCTCACAGGCTGGTGATGGTAGTCAAGGGGGAAGCAGAATTGAAAACGACCAAATGCATTATCTCGTGATCTGTTAATGAAACAGAAATGCAACAGAATGTGTCTGAAAATTTTAGAATAGTTCTCCGTTGGGAGGGAGATCAGGTGAATATGAGGATAAAAAGGAATAAAGGCATTCATAGAGAGGAAAAAGGAAAGAATATATTAATGAAAGGGAAGCCATTTCACTTAACTGTTCCAGTGTAAGCAAGAGCAGTGGAATAGCATTTATTTCTGTGTTTGCAGAAAGCTTGTAAGTTTCAGCAATGAGTCTGACACAGTTGAAGTCAGTGCTGACAGCTGGGCTTGGAGGCGCAGAGGGAGGACAGGGCAGCGGCCGCAGAAATGGACGTGGACCTGGGACAGATCGCGCCCTGCTATACTGGCTAAGGGTATAGGTCTCTGCACTTGTGAGGAGGAATGAGCAGGTGATCCATACCGTGCTCCCCTGCCTGTGACCCCTGTATGTTATTTGCAGTTTTTTCAGCATATTTCAGTATGTTCCTGCTCAAGGTTACAATTTGATCTCTATCTACAGACTGATTCCTAGGGGTTTCTTTTGATAACCCTGAGCTTGAAGAGCTCCTTTTGTGTCAGCTGACATTGATATCAGTTCCACATTGTGTGGTATTCAGGGACCTTGTTGAGATATTTTATTGGGTAAGTGGATGGGCACAGACTCAAAAAGAGTACCAGGAAGAAAGGAACATGTGTTGAGTGTTTGCTCTGTGGCATCTCGTTTATTTCTCAGACAATTGGAAGTTTTGCTTGTCTCATTTTCACACGGGGAATTTGAGACTCACAGAGGCTAGTTCATTTGCCCAGCACCATAAAACTCATTAATAGTGGTCCCAGGATGTGAGCACAAGCTTATCGGTCTCCAAATTGCACGCTCTTTGTACTAAACCCTGAAGGAAGATAATGATGCCCATTGTCTTCCCGGAATTTATGCCGACACAATATGGCGATTTCTTCACCAATTTCGGGGCACCCCCGACCACAGCTATGGACAATTCTTAATACTTTGAGTCAATGCTTCTCTTTTTTTAATAATCATCATTTTATTTATTTATTTTTTAATATGAAATTTATTGTCGCATTGGTTTCCATACAACACCCAGGGCTCATCCCAACAGGTGCCCTCTTCAATGCCCATCACCCACCCTCCTCTCCCTCCCACCCCCCATCAACCCCCAGTTTATTCTCAGTTTTTAAGAGTCTCTTATGGTTTGGCTCCCTCCCTTTCTTTTTTTCCTTCCCCTCGCCCATGGTTGAGTCAATGCTTCTCAAACACAGCCTCCTCATTCCCATAGCTGTGGCTTTGATTAGATAGTGAGCCTGGTCATAATTTCCTCCTTCGTTGTCTGCCTCCACCCGCCGAAATTTCTGGAACTCTGTCACAGTCCCATCTTTTCCCCTTACTGCTCCTGCCCCTATGGCCTCAATCTGTTCTGCATCTTCAATCCCAAATATACGTCTTTGCAACTAACGATGTCCTGCTTTAAAACATCCTCTAACTTATTTATACGTGTAAGTGGTCTCTTTTCAGCCGTACACAAAATGCACCACTTCGTATCCTTGATCTTCTGTTAAGTTTCTCAAGTTCCACCTATGAGTGAAAACATATCATATCTGTCTTTCGCTGACTGACTTATTTCACTTTGCATAGTGCCCTCCATTTCCATCCATGTTGTTGCAAATGGCAAGGTTTCATTCCTTTTCATCTCCGAGTAGTATTCCATTGTATATATAAACCACATCTTCTTTATTCATCAGTTGTTGGGCATTTGGGCTCTTTCCATGAATTGGCTATTGTTGAAAGTGCTGCTAAAAACATTGGGATACCAGTGCCCCTGTGAGTCACCACGGTTTTAATTTTTTTTTTTAAGTTTATTCATTTTTGAGAGACAGAGCACGAGTGGGGAAGGGACAGACAGACAGGGAGACACTGAATCCGAAGCAGGCTCCAGGCCCCGAGCTATCAGCACAGAGCCCAACGTGGGGCTCGAACTCACGAACTGTGAGATTATGACCTGAGCTGAAGTCGGATGCTTAACCGACTGAACCACCCAAGTGCCCCTTTGAAGCATTGTGTTAAAAGCAAAGGGAAGTCAGTGAGAACTGGAGAGATGAGTAGAATTTGAATAATTAAAGGCAGGGGAAGGGCATGAGAGGGTGCTTTCCTAGAGAAGGGTTTCTGGCAACCCCTGAAAGCCAGAGCATGTTTGTGCTGGGCAAGCTTGGGAGTTGGTAAACTGGGAACCAGCACTGGAGACCTAGCTCAGGCATCCCATAGGATGTGGCTTCTGTCCTTTCCCTAGCTCTCCCCTTGTGGACATTGATCTGGGATTCTGTTGAGATAAGGGTATTTGCGAAACATCTGTCCGTTTCAGTTACGTTTTAGGGAGAGAGAAGTGGTAGGACAGGGAGACAGCAGAGCCTGGTGGAGGTGACGTTTTGTGTGGCATCTTCTTGTCCACAGCTGCACGTCCACGTTTCAGCCTGTTGTCAGCCGTGGCCGCACAGAGTAGGAGGGGGTACAGCAGGCAGGAGGCTACAGGAGGCAAGCCTTGTCTGGTGGTGGCTCAGTCGGTTCAGAGTCGACTTCAGCTCAGTGATCTCACGGTTCTTGAGTTCGAGCCCCCTGTCGGGCTCTCTGCTGTCAGCGCAGAGCCTGCTTGGGATTCTCTGTCCCTCTCCACCCCCCCCCCGCCCCTGCTCTGCCCCTCCCCCTGCTCTCTCTCTCTCTCTCTCAAAAATAAACATAAAAAAAAAAAAAAAAAAAAAAAAAGGCTTGTTCCAAAGAGCCCTTTGAGGAGTAGAGGCAGTACCTCCGTTGTGCAGTAGGTGGTGCCATTGCCTCTGTGTCCTGAGGTTGAAGAACCATCTGACAGATTTGTTTCTTCTTTGCTCCAGGGGGTCTCAGTCTCAGGACTGATGGTGTCGTGTAGGCTGCGGGGGAGAGGGAGAAGGGGGTCTAACAGGTACTGAGATACGCTTATGTGCCAGGAGGGCACCAGGCGGTCTGCGCGATGACTCTGGGGCGCCCCCTCCTCCTCCACTCCTGTTCCCCTCTGTTCTTTCTGCTCCCCTCCCCTCCATCTTACTTTTCATTGTCACCATTGCAGCCCCCAGCCACTGAGGGCTGCGAGCCAGACGCCTGGCCGAGCCCCTTCATGCAGGATTTTATTTAGTCTTTACCCCAAACTTTGCTGGGCCCCATGGTTGTCCTTCCTTTGCAGAGAAGACAGTTGAGCCTCAGAGAGAGAAAGTAGTTTTCCAAGATCATACGGGTAAGAAACGGGAGAACACAACTCTGAGCCTAGTTCAGCCTTTCTCGATAGTAAGTATCTACCTTTTGTTACATCATGTTTGTTTTTTAAAATTTCTTTTGAGAGAGCAAGGGAGGAGCAGAGAGAGAGAGGGAGAGAGAATTTTCTGGCAGTGCAGAGCCCGATGTGGGGCTGGATCCCACCGACCACGAGATCGCTACCTGAGCCAAAATCAAGAGTCAGACGCTTAACCGACTGAGCCACCCAGTCGCCCCCATCGCGTTTATTTTTTTAAGGTTCAGGTTTGCAAATTACCGCATATTGCCACAGTCAGGGACTGTTGTCCTGTGCGCTACACCTCCGACCTCCCCACGGTTACACAGTGAGTCAAGACCAGAGCTGAGCTTAGAAGCCAGGGTCCCGATGGGGTCCAGTTCTCAGCACCTTCTTGTTGCCTCCAGAGGTTGGCGACTGGCCTTGTTACCACCTACTCGGCTTCCTTCTCCCTGGAGTGTGTCCTCGCCCCTTTCCTTCCTATCCCTTCCCAAGCGTGTCCCTCTTCTCAGCTGCGTCTTTCTCTGGCCTTTCTCTCCTCTTACAGAACGGAACAGCTCAGGCTCGTCTGCTCTCAGGCACGAAGGTGAGTTCCTCAGCATCCCTGTTGGTCCCTGGTGGTATATGTGCACACAGGCATCGTTCCCTCTGCCAGGGGTTTTGGGGATTGTAGCTGATGTTCCAACACACGGGTACACAGACACAGGCACGCAGCCACGCTCTAATGGCTGAAAACCCATCCTTGTCTCCTTTCTGGTATTTACGTCTCGGTAAGTTGAGAGTGAGTTAGGGAATCCCTAGATCGAACTCTACTTGCTGCAAACAGGATTGTGGGTAGGAACCGAAAGAAGCCTGTGTGGGCTAAGTGAGGGTAGGCATGGGACCCAAGTCAGGCAGACCCGGGTCCGTGAAACCTATGGACGCTTGGACAAGTCAGTGAGTTCTCTGAACGTTTGTTTCCTCATCTGTAAATCAGAGCGAAAGAGAATGACAAAACTCCATCTCCGCGAGCTGCTGTGATTGGACTCCCCGACCCCCACCTCCCTCACCTCTGATCCATCTTTCAAATCAGCACCGTGGTCCCCCCTCTACTCCCCACATCACCTTTCGTGACTTCTCATTAGCTTCACAGCAAGGTCCAAACTCTCAGCACGGCGCGTCTGACATTCAGCCTCGTTCATTCTGTAAGCATTTATTGAGGCGGTGCACAGGGACTGTGTGTGGTAAGCACTGGGAAGCCTATAAGAAAGAATGCCCGTCCTTTTTCTGAAAAGACTCCCCATTTCTGACCCTTTTCTACAATCCAGCCATGCAGAACTGTTGAGGGGCTCAGATTTACCATTATGTCGCCACCCCGGACCTTTGAACATGCTATTCTCTCCGCCTGGCATTTCCCCCACCCCTTCCCCTGTCTTCCCGGAACACTAAGCTTTCCTTTCCTTATTTAGGTGCAAACCTTGTCTGTAAAGCCCACCCTGAACACTTAGGCAGAACTGTCCTCCTCTCTTTTCCCTCCCTCCATCATGCACCCCTTTACTGCTCCCTCAGCTCTACCCCCACTAATAGCGGTGATTTACTTACAGTGTCTTCCTGCAGAGGATAGGGGTACAGTTTATTCAGTCACCTAACTAGCATCTGGGGGGGTGGGTGCTCCACTCTTCCTTTTACCATCAACCACTGACGGAGTGCTTGCCATGCATTAAGTCAAGTTTATGTGCTTTATCTCATCCAATCGTCCTTAGCAACTATATGAGTCTGCTATGCACGCCCGTTTTACGGATATGAACATGGGGCCCACAAGTAGTTAAGGAACTTGTGAAGGTTACCTCGTTGCTAAGTGTCCGAGCCAGGATTTGAACCCACGCATTCGGACTCTGAATCCTGTGCTCCTGCTACCAGACACGCCGCCCCTGGTGAAGGCTGATAAACGTGTTGAGTGAGCGAACTTTGAATCACAACGACTGTTCCTTTACCGTTATGTAAGCGAAGCCCCTATTCAGCGCGTTTCAGAATACGCGTAGTGAGGATTAGGTTTGTTTAAGTTCCCATCTTCTGCAGAGCAGCACTTTCGTACATTACAATAAAAAGTGAATTACTAGAGAGAAGATCACACGCTAGGATATTGTGATGATCTCAAATTGCCTTAAATATTTCGAAATATTTCCTCTCAGTTCCCATCCTTAACATGTGGACCGTCTTTGAACAGCACTGCTCTATCCGACTGCCGGCTCGGACTAGCCACGTGTTGAGGACGCATTGCAGAATGAATCTGGATCGTATAACCGACGGTTTTGACGAAGAATAATGGAAAGCTGAACATCTTGTGGGTTTTTACCATGAGTCAGATCCTCTCCTGGGCTCTGTGCGAAGAGAACCGTCTCGTTCTCCAGAGGCGATGCTGCGGCAAGGGGTCTAGGTGAGACCTGTACCCTAGAGACCACTTGACGGTATCTTCTTATATTTGGAGAGGCAAATAGGCCAGAACGTTAAAACAGCCCAAACTACTATTTCAAAACCCTGTATTGCCCTTTCGTGCTCACATTTGTTTTTGGAAGGGGATCAATGAACTATTCTATTGATTCAATAAGGCAGTGGCATTATTCACGAGTTCTCCGGTAGAACATTATATTCTAAAAAAACCCCTCTCTATTGGAAGTTTTTTTTCACTGTATTTTAACACACTGGTTACTTTTCTAATGTTTACTGCTTTGAGAGAGAGAGAAGGGGGGAAGGGAGAGAGAGAGGGAGACACAGAATCCAAAGCAGGTTCCGGGCTCTGACCTGTCAGCACAGAGCCCAGCACAGGGTTTGAACCCACAAACCACGAGATCATGACCTGAGCTGAAGTCAGACGTTTAACCAACTGAGCCACCCAGGAACCCCCATACAGGTTATTTTTGATGGCCAGTATGGACGCTGAAGCAGTGGGGTTGGGGAAACATACCAGATGCAAAAGAATAAATAACATCAGACATTGCACCTTGAAAGAACCCATAGAGTTCTGGCTCAAGGGTCCCATTGTATAGGCGAGGAAACCAAGCTCTTGGGGATGGGAGTTCATGCCCGGAGCTACAGATATACAGTGTTTGTTAGTAAATGAGCTGGGATAAAAAGCCTAATTCCTGGCTATGTCAACCAAACCTTTGGAACCCCCAAAAGCCCCAAGGGTGACAAGGGGGAAACAGAAGCTTCCAGTTCTCTGTACATTGCTGAGCTGGTGAAGCGTCCACCCCACTGCCATTCCCTGAGGGATCAACACCATTTACTTTTACATTCTTCACAGGAAAGTCCCAAGGAACTAGTGAAACAACATCCAGAAGTGGTAATTGGCCAACCACTGAGCTATTGGCCAATTCCTCCATGCATGAAGCCTCGACTATGGCCTGAATAAGTAAGGTTTACTAAATAAAATACATGATTAACTATTCTTCGAATATAGATAGATGCTACTGTGATCATCCACATGGTTAGGTTCTGTGCTATTAGAGTAGCTCTTTTTCATGTATTTACTTATTTATTTATTTATTTATTTGGTCAATGACACTGAAAAGACAAGTACGCCCATATCGGGATCAACAGAATACGTAGACATTAAAACGGAGTTGTCTTATTTGAAAGATTAGAAAGCACAAGTGTGGAGAACTGTGTGTTGAAAACTGCCCTGAACTTAGGGAAACACAAAGTACTGCATCGCTGTTATGCTCAGGCCCGATGAGAAGCATAGGGGGCAGCAGAGAGGACCAAAGGCTTCCAAGAACTGTGTGTAAGTTGAGTTAAGCCTAGTGGTTAAAGGCTCTGGTTTTGCAGTCAGGTGCTCTGGGGCTTTACATTCTTTCTCTTTCCACTCACTACCATCTATGCTCTTGGGCAAGCTGTGTAACCTGACTCTGTTACCTTATCGGTAAAATGGGGCTTATCATACACGTTTCATTGAGTTGTTGTAAGAATTAAATGAAATAATGGGGCTAATGCAATGCTGGGATCATAATAAACCTTTTACATATGGTGACTATCCTTCCACCTCAGCCACTACCAAAAGCACTACGACAACCACCATCACCACCCCCACCCCCATCACCATCATCTCCACCCTAGAGGCTACAAAATGTAACCTGGTGAATTTACCTGCAAGCACTCTCAGCGCTTCCTTATAATAACCTCTTGACTTCTTTTCTAAGATCAATATGTCCTGTGGGAACTGGCCGAGGCGTTTGGGTGTATGTTGACCCTAAAGTCCCTTGCTTTTCCCCTTTCCATACTTGTTACTTTTCAGCCTCAACCTTTTTCTGCCCATCTTCCCACCATGGGGTTTGGGGTTGGGCACCAGCTGCAATCCTAGGTTGCTTGAGTTCATGAGTTGAACCCAACAGGGGCAGGCAGTATATCAGAAGCCTCGGTCCAACCATCTGTTGAAGTCAGTCTCTGCTCGTGAACACGGTGTGCGTATGGTAGGGTGAACTTTGGCTTGCCGTCTTCACCGCCTCCAGGCTATACCATCTGTAGGCCCCAACATCTGCTCTCTTCTCAAGGTCTGGCACTCCAGTGCCTGGTGAGGACTGAATGTCTTCTGGAAACCAAGTCTGTTTGGCTAGGCCCTGATGTCCTTGCACAGTTAGGACCAGACTCCCATTCCACAGGCCTGGACTTTTCCTTCCTTGAGGAATAAGCTTACCACTTGGAAACTAGGTAAATGCACAAAATAACCCCAATCATGTTGCCCATGCTGCTCTTTAGGCCTTTTCGTTGTAGGTGGCAACATCTAAATTCAAATACACTGGAACAAAATAAGTTATGGTATAGTCTCTTGCAACTGAACAAAGACTAGGAAATACTGACTTTGGGCTTGGCCGGATCTAGGTGCTCACACGTCGTCGTTGGGAGTTTCTCTGTCTCTCCTACCTTGACTTCTTTCTCAGGCAGTCTCACCCTAGTGCTGGTCCCAATTGTGTCAAGTTTCTCCCCTGTCTTCTCAGTGACTTGAGGTGAGATGAGATGAGAGGGAGAGAGAGAGAGAGAGAAAGAGAGAGAGATCCTCCAACAATTCCCACAAATGTTCTGTTATTGACATCTATTATACATGTCCCTCCCAGCATCAATCGTGTGACCAGCCTGAGGCAGATGACCATCTCTAGAGCTGGGGGCAGGGGTCAGCCCCGGTCAAGCCACATGTCTAGAGATGGGGAGGGGCGTTCCCCACAGGAAAATCTAGGGGCTCGTATCTGAAGAAGGGAAAACTGACGCTGAGGAGACAAAAGGAGTAGTTATCTGTTGAACAGTCTGCTTTGACTGGCCCCAGTCAGCTAAACTTAACTGTAACCAGAACTCGCTGGGCATCTTGGGAAGAGTATGGCTTTGAAGCTAAAAGACCTGTTTGAATGTTTGCTCTCTCAATTCCCAGCTGAGTGATCATGAGCAAGTTGTACATCCACAAGCCTTGTACTTTTTCCCTTACAATTAGATGATAATGCCTTCCACTCAGCATTTGGGTTTTTTTTTTTTTTTTAATTTTTTTAACGTTTATTTATTTTTGAGACAGAGAGAGGCAGAGCATGAATGGGGGAGGGTCAGAGAGAGAGGGAGACACAG